TTTACGCAACACCCAAGTCCGACTCGTCGAGTTAATTATAAACAAAAACATGTATTTTCATTTACTGAGCAAGTGCAAACTATTCGCCAAACCAGTAAATGAAAATTGAAAAAGAGTGAAATTTTCTAATTAAAACTTAATTTTTCATTGGAAATGCAATTGTTTAACATCTAAATGACAGTTTTAAAGGTAACCAATCCGTTGTTAAAGGTTTTGAGCAGCTTATTCTTTTACAGTGGATCTTCCAAATTTTAACGATCTTCAGCGATTATGTACAAAATGACCGTATTTTAGTATCAGCGAACGATGCGTTCGTAAATTAATTCCTATCGTTAAATTATATTAATTCTAGACCTGATAACCTTTCTAGTAGTTAGCAATAGTATCCAAGAATAGCATAAAAATTCGTCGTTTATGAAAAATGTCATTATCAATTAATAATTTTTGTTTAAAATAGTGCTTTCAATCACTAGGTGGGTAACTCTACGTAAGTTATTTATACTGAAGAATGAAAGAAGTTCTTTGAAATTTTTTTTTTTCAAAAAATTTTTCAACAAGTTTTCCTTGCTGAACAAATTGACATTTTTACCCGACTCATTGGGCTCGTTTCTGGTTGGACCACCCGATTTTTTATGTTTTTCACGACTTTTCAAACTTACGATGCACCACGACAAGAGTAAAAAAAGTGAAATTACGTTATTATTCCCTTTGGCTCCTTTCGTTTCTTTTCTCTTTTTCAACGTATGTATGCATGCAATAAAGAGCTCGAGCGCGAGTGCACTAATGCGTACACACACTCGAGTGAAAGAACAAGTTTATTACGTGGGTGTGCCAGCGCGATATTTTGGAATATCAACGATTTATAGTTTTGTACACTCGCCCGTACGTACCTTGGACAAGTTGCAAGTGGTCTGTTGTGCGCTTCGAGGAGACCGTCGTCATAATTACGCGCGCAATCGCAATTTCGTATGTTGTGTTTACACACACTTTCGACACACGCGACGGAGTTTTGGACGAAAATTTCCTCGTTGCGCCGAAAAGACTTTTTAAAAAGCACACGCGCCCGAGAAATGATATCATCGAACTTGACCTGAAAAAAATTACGTTCGATCGCCGTATCGAGTGATTTCGTAGCGAAAACGTTTACGTATTATCGATCGGCGAATGGTCAAGCGAGTATATGTGTACATAAGTGGCGCGTGTCGAAAGGGAAGATGCGCCGATACGCGTCGATAATTGTTACATTCTGAAAAATTAACTATATAGCGCCCAGTCGCAGGAGACAACGGTATATAACAATTTATATTTTCTAGAAGCTCCGATACAGAAATGCCGATCGGAAACACAGGTGCGTGCGTAAAATATTATAATATATAACGCACCTCGCGCGCAAAGCGGAGAAAAAAATAGTGATAATAATGCGCGTAGTATCGGCGAAGCGGAAACTGTCAATCTTTCGACCTATATTACAAATTTATAAATACGCGATGTAAGTAGAAGAAACGGTGAAAGGAAGAGAAAAAAAAGTGCCCGTATCTATGTACTTACGCGATCATAATACTGTTATTCGGAAGTCGAAATTCCTCGTGCACTCGCGGAAAAACAGTAGTTATTAAATTTGTAAGAGTATACGCGATGATGTATAACAGGAGCTGTTGTTGCTGCTGCTGCTGCTGCTGATATATCGTATGGAAAGACAGAAATTCGTCGCCTCGATTCTAAACTATTTTCGAGGCATGATTTTACAATCCGTTGTCTACTGATGATAATCGATAATCGAAAATCAAACAAACTTACCTGTAAGTGAAGTTCGATTTTAATTATATGAAAATCCTTGTTTGAGTGATTGTATATTAAGGCGGATCGAAAAAACCCTTTTGTCGTCGATCGCTTTCTAATAGCAATAGAACGTTAGTATAACTCAATAAAAAATAAAAGCCGCGAGGTAGGCGCCAGCAAACGATGGCTTCAGTTGCCGCATGAAGCTCAAAGTCTAAATTCGTAAAAAAAAATATCGTTATGCGTTAAAATTTCTCGGTGCAGTGTTTACTGATACGGCTGAAAATTTTAGGGCTTCTTATGTATAATAATACAAATTAAAAAAAAAGCAATCCTTTCGGTGCCTTAAAAGCAAAGATAGAGCCACTCAAAGATCGAAAATCGACATAATTTTGACGTTTTTCAATTTTTTCCACTCTTTGAAACACTGTACACTGCGTAATTTTGCAATTATTAAAACGTTTCAAAAATGAAAATTTTTGTATTTTCAAGAGCTTTCCAGCGATATAAATTAGTATGGGGAACACATAAGTTTTCTGGAAGAGCCTCACAGTAAATATTTAGGTCATATTTCGGTCAAAAAAGGAGACACTGCCACGATTTCAGCAGGAATATCAGATTTTTTAAATCTAAATAATATTAGTTCTGACTTTTTGATGGCAATAGGCTATGATGGAACTAACGTAAACGTGGGAGTTCACAAGGGTTTTTTTTTTTTTTTTTTTTTTTTGAANCAGAGTAAACTCTGCAGCCAGTGGCCCCTGCGAAATCAGACATCCCACCGGAACCGTCGTTAGACATTACTTCGGTGGGTGCCCCTATAACAGCGTTACGCTTGCATCCTCATCTGCCTAGTCCATACATCCCCCATCCAACAAACGGTGATTAGGGGTTCAGGGGACAGTTTACATCCTTTGATCTTCATTATTCCATAATTGTCACCCGCCACTTGAGTACCCAGTCCCATGTTCGCCGCACGGCAAACAGGGGCCCGGGGGAAGGGCGGGATTCAACCTCAGGGCCTACGTTCCTCAGCATCAGCCTGAGCTCAATAATCTCTCAGCCCTACATCTTCTCGGTGTCAGCGCTGAGGGACATACACCTTAATATCACATATCATGTGTTAATCTTCCTTGTGTCCAGAGCATCCCTCTGGCCAATCATTGTACACATTGTTGTATCATAAAACAGCAATAATCTCCCCTCACCGCCTCAGCCGATGGCCGAGACAGCTCTGAGAGACAGGACTTTCTTTTAGTTTCATGTGGAGTTCACAAGGGTGTGATAAGAAAAATGTAATTGGCTTTTAGTCGACCTATGCAATGGATAGTATGTTTGTTACATGCTAATGAGATACCGCTAAGACATTTTTTCGAATATTTCGAACCGCTAAGACAGTTGTTCGAATATTTCGAACCGCTAAGACATTTGTTCGAATATTTCGGTTCAATATAAAACAAAATTGCTCAGTTATTGACGGTGCAAAAAATTTTCATTTAAGTAGCTCAAGATATTCAAGTGTTGAATTATTGAACGTCATCAATCCACTTTTAGCGAGAAATTCGTATTTTGCACACCCGGAAAATTTATTACTTGCAATGATCTGTGATGAAAGAAAAGAAATTAGGGTTTTGGTAATGAATTATATTCTGGAAGCTCGAAATAGAAAAAATGGTCTTTGACAATTCATTCAACCGAAAAAAAATTTTAATTTCTACGCTAAGGACTACACAGAATTAGTGAATTTTGATGAAATATTCATTACAGAACCTCCTCTCTTGTCCGGATATAACGAGCAACAATTAAAAGAACTAGTAGAAAATGAAGGTACTATTGATGACGATATTTTTAAAATACCATGCCACACTCAAGCTGTTGAACGCTGCATCAAATGAGTTACTGAATATTCGCTAGCACATTCGTCAGAAAAAGGGAGAGATTGCAGTGTAAGAGCTACTTTGGCCGCGAGACAATCAAGTTCAGATTGCAATACGAAGAAAAAGGATCAGTCATTTCCATTTTAGTTCAAATATTTTCTCTTCTTTTTAAAATTTATAATTTATGTATCTGGAAATATAATAGATTTAATAACACAAATACATGTAAAAAATTCACTAAGAATGTTTAAGAAAGATCAAATGTAAGCTGTAAACTTGTGATTTAACTTATTTGAACGCCTGTGACTGTGACTTCCGGGCAAAAAGCAGAGCCTCTGCCCACTGGGCTCCAGCTACTGCCGGGCGCGGGGCGCGGGCCCACACACATTTTCATGGGCTGCTGCGACTACAGCGCCAGCTCGTGCTCACCATAAAATACATAAATGTAAACACGGTATTTCATGTGCCATTTGTATAAGATTCTGCGGCAGCTTATCACAAGTGCAATAACTGAGTTGAAATAAGTGTACAGTATTAGTTTAATTGCATAGTTGTGTTTATTGTTGCAAGTGTTGAACAGTTTCCAGAGCAAAATTAATCAGAGAGTGAATACACAGTGAAATATATAACAGTGAAAATTATGCATTTGAGCATTGCATAAATTTGAGTTTATGTACCATTTTCAAAGTGTATTCGTTTTTTAGAAGTGAAACTTGTTTTTATACAATGATTTCAGTTTTTAGTAAAGTTTATAAAAAAGTGTAATACTATATTCAAACAAAGAGTGACTAAATGGTGATATTTTTATAATGTCTACAATGGTATATATTGTTGTATGTATTGTAATGAGCCGTGTCACCGCTAGGTGGCACGGAGTAAAAGTGCGGTTCACGCAAGTGAGATTGTTAAGTCTGGGCGTTATATAGACCCGAGAAAGACTTGTATCTTCGAAAGCCTCGAGAGAGGCGAAAGAGAGGTGGATTAATAAACAGAGTTCTTTGAAAAGGGAATCTCATCTAATTATTTCACCTCCCTCCCATTCACCATCCCCTCCTAGCCGAGACCCCAGAAGTTTCTGTAGCAGCGCAAGACGGGCGGACGACTCAGCAGCGATCTAGCGAGCAACGAGCAAGGAGATCGAGAGTCGACCCGGTGCCTCACCTACAGCAATATATAACAGTGAGAATAAAGATTGAAATTCTTTGGATAACATGTTTGTGTTTATTTTATTGTATTATTTCTAACCATTGTAGTTATTTTTAAAGTCTTCTTTCATTGAACCTATTTTTTTAATGTATATTGTCACATGAGTCAATGCAGCTTAGAAACATGATTTCAGTCTCATTAGTCCTGGGCGTCAATGCCCATCCGCATTTGTTGCTTGGCACTTTTGAGGAATAGCTTGGCTATCTCCTCATCTTTATTCCTGCAGATTGCGTGAAGTGACGTCTCTCCATCCGAGTTGGCTAGATTCCAGTTCGCCCCTTTCTTCAACAAGTATCTTATAACTTTTTTGTGGCTCGTTGTAGCAGCCAAATGTAGTGGCGAATTGCCCGACACGTCTTGAGTATCCATCTCGTCACCGATTATGAATAAGAGACCCACCAAATCTTCGCCATGAATACTTTTGCATAGCTCGTGCACGGGCCTCGACCCATTTTTGTTGATTGCCTTCGTATCGGCACCCGAGTCCAGCAACAATTGTACCACATCGAGGTGACCGTATCTTATAGCCAAGTGTAGAGGGGTATCGCCCGTTTTTTCCCAAACGCATTTATTGGGATCGTGGCCGTGTTCGAGAAATTGCTCGACTACATAATAGCAGCCGAAGGCACTCGCTACATGCAAATGCGTCAGTCCCTCGCTGTCGCTGTAATTGATGTCGAACCTTGGAAACATATTGAGAAGATCGTTAACAAAATCGGAGTAATGCTCGTACAGTTCTTTGCGACGTTGAACAGGATCTCTTCTTTCCGAGAGCTGACAGCGGTGTCTGACACCGCGTCCCATGGTTTCTACGACATTACTTTCACGGTCACTTTCGAAGCTGTCGAGCTTGCGCAAGAGCTGAATCGAATCGTGGACCGGCGTAAACCTATGCTTATATTTATGTTCTTCAGATTCGTCGATGTAGCCACAGCGCGCGATGAACTTGACAAAATTTACGCACGAATCGATTGTATCGAATCTCTCGTCGTTCACCGAGATATTTATCGCGTCTATAAGAAGTACTCCTATTTCTTCGTTCGAAAAAATTTCTTCAAGATTTGGCAGACTGTGTTTCCACTCTTTTACCATTGGAATAATTTTACTCAAAAATCCAGAACGTTCTTTATAAGCTGGCCAGACGACATGTTCTTTCAATTTTTTTATCTTTTTCACAATGCCTTCCTCACTCGAGTAAGCCATTTTGTTGGATAATGAATGGCGATGCACAAAACACTGTCACAAATAATTCACAGTAACTTTTATTTATGTTTTTTCGTTATTTTCTAGTAAGCGCGATAATTTTCTGGTGCAAATATGTATATGCAAGTGTGCGTATATGCCTTGTGTTCCGTGGCTGTGCCGTCACACGTGCTCGCTTGCGCGTATGACTATATGTACTGAAGTGTATGTTGGCGTGCTTGTGTGCGTATATATGCCTCGTGTTCCGTGGCTGTGCCGTCACTCGTGCTCACGTGCGCGTATTACTATACATACTGAACTGTATGTTGGTGTGCTTGTGCGGGCGTATACATACTGAAGTGTATATGGGTGTGTATGAGGCATGTTCACGTTTTGGAAAATAAATATTAGAAATTATGAATATTCGGAAAGTTGGAAAATCGGATTAAGGAACAGGGAACATGAAAAATTTGAAAAAATCAAATCTCGGAATAAAAAAATTTCGAAAAAATTTAATTTCGGAATCCACAAGATTGTTAATGAAAAATGTAGACTATAAAATTTCCCACTAAAAATTTTTTGGATTCTGAATTTTAATTTTTCCGAAATTTTGTTTTAAAAAATTTTTCATGTTCCGTTTTCAAGTCCAAACATTCCGAATATTCATAATTCCTAATATTTATCATTCCGAAATATGAACATGGCTTAGGGGGACACATACGAGGCGTTTCAGCCCAACTGCCCCAGCGCGGCGGCCGCACGGCACTTTTAGTCGAAATTGCTTAATTTCTATCTAGCTGGAAAACCCCATAAACGCACTTAAAAAAATATGTAGCACATGCTTTCAATTCGGAAATTTCCTCAGCTTTCCGATGGTGTACTCAGATTTTTCAGAAAATTCAATTTTCACAGGAAAATTTCAAAAATAAATTTTCTAAATTAAATATCTCAAAAAGCATATTTTTAAGTTTTTTTTAAATGATCTCGATCGAAAGCTGAGGAAATTTCCCATCAAAATACATGATTTTCCAGCGAGTAAATTTTATTTTTATTAGCTGAAATACAGCGATGAACGTGTAAAAACGTGAGATTTGGCGCCGCGCGGACATATTCCAGTATATCGTCGCCCCAGCGCAGGAAGGTATCTATTTCCAAGCTGTAACAAGAAGGATACTTACTCGCGCGCAGAGGCAAAAAGGTATCTAACTCGAGCGCAGCGGCAAAAAGGTATCTGCTTCGAGCGAGAAGCAAAAAAGTAGCTTATTCAAACGAAGTGGCAAGAAAGTTTTGACGCGCTGAATTTAGGTTGGCAACGGAGCCGTAAATGATAAAATTTTGTTAACATTCAACATTTAATTCAAAGCTATGTAAAGCCAATAACTTCTACTTTCCTTTCATAACATACAAAGTTCTCCATAAGTGGCAAATTGAGTCGAAATCACGGTGAGATTGATTTGATTGCTCGCATTACAAATGGATGAAAATCATTACACTAGCTCAAATGTTTTGTGACACGGCGTACTTTTTCTCGGCTCCCCGGCCGTGTACACTAGATAGGTCGCGGGCTCGTGATGGGGAGATGGGTTCGCGAATGGATGTGAACAAAGAACAGGACAATAAGTGATGAAACGCAGATTTTAATTATGAAATAAATTTATTTATAACAGTTCACGGCGCAATCTTCTCTCACACTCACACACACTCGCTCTTTACCCGTCGCTATCGCTTACAACTTACTTTATTCTCCCAGCTCTTTCTCTCCGTACCTAGCTTTTCACAATAGTATTTACACTCTCTTTCTAACTCACACAATTTATCTATTTCTCACTCTGCAATCACACTCAACTTTCCTCTAAAACACGTTACTTTCTCTCTCTGTACTCGCTCGGTTTCACTCTTTTCTTTCTTTTCAAAAATCGATTGGAGTTCACGCTCTCGTGAAGGGCAATCAATCACTGCCTCTTCTCGCCGCTGTTGGTGCGGCGCGACGGGCAGTTGCGCGCGACATTCAAAATCGTAGATATCGGGGGCGGTGTATGATCTAAAATAAAAGGAAAAAATGTGATTAGTCGTTTCATACCCAGCCTGATGGTCTCGCCCCGGTGGTGATCGGGTCGCCTACACACCTTGTTCACCATGTCACAGTTTTTCCTCTTTTTTGCTCTAATACAAAACAAAATTTTATTATTTACGGCTGCGTTGCCAACCTAAATTCAGCACGTCAAAACTTTCTTGCCACTTCGTTTGAATAAGCTACTTTTTTGCTTCTCGCTCGAATTAGATACCTTTTTGCCGCTGCGCTCGAGTTAGATACCTTTTTGCCTCTGCGCGCGAGTAAGTATCCTTCTTGCTACAGATTGGAAATAGATATCTTCCTGCGCTGGAGCGACGATATATTGCAGTATATGTGTGAAGATACAATTACTCGAAAGCAATTTGAATTCAAGAAATTCTTGATATTAGTGAAAATTCGAATGTATTTTAATAAGCGCCAATATTTTTATATCTGCAAACATTCAAAAACATTTTTATACTCGAGAATACTTGAGAATTTTTTTTATACTGCGATTGTTCCCAGAACTTAATATAAACAAAAATATATGTATGGTCGAGTTAATGCGTGATAGCATGAACACCCACAAAACACAACGGAATCACAAATATTTAATTCTGATGAATATTCGGTACCCAAATTTTTTCATAGCCAGGAATATTTGAATATATGTTTAAAAATACAAATATTTTTATATTCCATTATAGGCGCGAAAAAGGAATGTTTTTGCGAATAAAAATTATTCACTCGAATGCACTGTGCATTCTACTATTTCTCCATATGTGTAAATATTTTAATAAATTTTTATGACCGCAACGTTTTCTTATATTCACGATAAGTCGAGAATGTTTTCGTGCTCGAGAATACCCGGGATGTTGATAACACTACGAATATTCAAAAATATGCTTACAAACGAAAACATTTTAATAGTTGAACACATACGTGAAAAAAAAACTATCTACGACGACGAGTGAATTTTTTTTAAAGTTGTTGAGAATATATAATTGTGATAAATAATTTAAAACTGAAAAATCTTTTGGAATATTGTGAGATACGAAAATAATTTAAAACAAAGCTATATTGGGAAAAATTGCAATTACAAAAAAGTATTCTACAATTTTCAAAATAAATTAAAATTTATTGAATATGCAAACGATTCGAAATTCGATACGAAAAAAAGATACTACGAATATTATTTCAAAATAGAAAAATACCCTAGATCTTGTTGAGGCATTCAAAAATATGAAAGTATTTTGATTCTTGAACTTGTGGCCAACGCCAAGTCCAATTCTCCATTTCTCAATTGATGCTTTAGCTTTGACAAAGCTGAAAAATGTACAATTTGAGGGAAAACTTGACTATTTTCATCAGTCATAACACTCAAACTGCATTTACATTTCCTTCATAATCCTTGTCCTGTCATACAGACACACATGAGCTGGCGCATACGCTCAGGTACTATTTTCTTACTTTCAGTTGAGCGTATGTGCCAACTAATGTGTGCCTAAATGCCAGGAGTTATGAAAATAACGTCAATTAGCAAGTTTTTGGTCCTTGGACTTGTGGCCAACGCCAAGTCCCATTCTCAAACTCTCAGCTGGTGCTTTTATTTGAATAATGTAGCATGTAGCATTTTAGTGTTTGTAGTAGTATAATAACAAAGTGAAATGTAGTATTTGAGAATGAACTTCAGTACACTCATCAGTCTTGGAATTTTCCAACTTAAATTGTTATCCCCACTAACGCCGAGACCCCTGCGTGCGTCCCCACTCAAACGACGTGTACTGCAGCACTCGTCCCTCCCTCGCGGCATCAGCCAATCAGCGCGTGGTCGCTGTGTATATAAGCGAGCCACTTTGGCCGACTAGGGACAGTCGTCTCTCGGCAGCCAGCCAGAGCACATCGACTCTCGTCTTTGCGTTCGCGTCGACGAGCACTCGAGAGTTTTGACCTAGGGCCACTTCTCAATAGTGAACTTGGTTAAATTACAAAATACTCGACTTATTATTTCAACACCTTTCCCCACCTTTTGACTTTTCAAACTTCCGACTCGGCCGCCAGGTGGCGCAGCGCCACTAAAAAGTCGTGCCTGCGTGGACGAGTGCTGCACTACACGTCGTTTGAGTGGGGACGCACGCAGGGGTCTCGGCGTTAGTGGGGATAACAATTTAAGTTGGAAAATTCCAAGACTGATGAGTGTACTGAAGTTCATTCTCAAATACTACATTTCACTTTGTTATTATACTACTACAAACACTAAAATGCTACATGCTACATTATTCAAATAAAAGCACCAGCTGAGAGTTTGAGAATGGGACTTGGCGTTGGCCACAAGTCCAAGGACCAAAAACTTGCTAATTGACGTTATTTTCATAACTCCTGGCATTTAGGCACACATTAGTTGGCACATACGCTCAACTGAAAGTAAGAAAATAGTACCTGAGCGTATGCGCCAGCTCATGTGTGTCTGTATGACAGGACAAGGATTATGAAGGAAATGTAAATGCAGTTTGAGTGTTATGACTGATGAAAATAGTCAAGTTTTCCCTCAAATTGTACATTTTTCAGCTTTGTCAAAGCTAAAGCATCAATTGAGAAATGGAGAATTGGACTTGGCGTTGGCCACAAGTTCAAGAATCAAAATACTTTCATATTTTTGAATGCCTCAACAAGATCTAGGGTATTTTTCTATTTTGAAATAATATTCGTAGTATCTTTTTTTCGTATCGAATTTCGAATCGTTTGCATATTCAATAAATTTTAATTTATTTTGAAAATTGTAGAATACTTTTTTGTAATTGCAATTTTTCCCAATATAGCTTTGTTTTAAATTATTTTCGTATCTCACAATATTCCAAAAGATTTTTCAGTTTTAAATTATTTATCACAATTATATATTCTCAACAACTTTAAAAAAAATTCACTCGTCGTCGTAGATAGTTTTTTTTTCACGTATGTGTTCAACTAT